TCAGCGACGAGGAACTTTAATATTAGCACTCTGCAAGTCAAACTCCCTCCACCCGTCAGAAGATTCGAACTTCTTTCCCGTTTCAACACCCCCGACGCCGGTTTTTTTTCTTTTTTCTTTGCGTCTTTTTTTCGCTCTTTTTGAGTGACGCAGGGGAGGTGCGTTCAGCTCACTCCGCGCTGACTGAAATAGTCAACGTCACTTCGGACGAGGTGACGTTTAAACTGAGAATTTCGTTTATGGTAAATATGGCGGAGAGTGACATGGAAATGATAATGAAGTTCGAAGGGAAGTTTCGTGGGTTCTTTGTGTGGATCTGTTTGCTTTATCTTTGACGTTGGAGATATGAAAAATGGTTCGTGCTGGGCTGGAGTAAAAGAATGCGGTCGGATCAAGTGACGGTTGTGCAAAGATGGAAACTTGTTTTGTCATTAGAACTTTGTTTATTCTGTGTATTTGCTGTTACTTTCCTTGCGCATTGATTAGGCGTGTGCAATTAGACGTTGCAATCGTGGGATTTAATTGTGTAGACAATAAGGGATCAGCAATACATAGTATTCTTGTTTTCTACTATCTAGTAGTTCAATCTCTAATTCAGTTTCTTATGAAAAGGATTTCTGACACTTTAGTTTTGCAAATGATGAAAGATCAGTATATAGTTTTCTTATGTATTAGCATCTAAAAGCCCAATACCTAATTTACTGTTCTACGAAAACCTTTTTCAAAGAAATAATCGAATATTTCTATTCCCAATGTATTTTTCTACATGAAGGGCTTCTATCGCTTTTAAAAATCCTCGTCCACAAAGGGTTAATCGGCCGATTCTCGCGGGGCGCTCCTCACTCCACCCCGGTGTTTAATTCGAAGGGGTGAGAAGTCGAGTTAATTAACACGGTGCTCAATTATTCAGGGCAAGCCTAATAAGCCGTGTCGAAACTGTTTGCCGCTGGTACACGATCGGAACGAGTTTACGGTGAGCGAGCGGGTGTCGTCGAACCTACGGGCTTTTATGGCGAGGTGTCGCTTACCGGGGGGTCAGGCTGACCCGTCTAAGTGGCGTGGAACGGAATGATCCGTGCCGGGACGCGCGCCGTTCTTGTCAAGGGTTGACCGGTGAAAGACTGCCTGATCGAAGAAGCGTTCGACAGTGGGCCGTACCGAGGGATTTTTCACATTTTTCAGGGATGCTGAGGGTCGCTGCTCGCACTAATCGCTTTGGACAGGTCATTGATACCCATCACTGTTTATTAACCCTTTCAAAAAGTATTTCACTCGAATTATTTTTAACACATTCTGATGAGATGCAAACTGCATTTTTGGAAAGCATCTTAATGAGAAATCGCACATAGATTAACTCTTTGCTCTCAAGAGGTGACTCCCACTCACCATATGATTCCAAAATCATAAAGTCTTACATGTAATAGTAAGCTTCTTATAATCTACGAGCATGTGAAATATTGAAATAATAACTTTGTTTTTTAACTTATGTGTATTCCCTCATTCAATTCGTTTTAAAGGATGTCATCTATAACTCATTGGAAAGTGTTGAATATTTCTAGTGAAAGATTTCCGACTGCAAAGGGTTAAAAGGCTTCTTTTGTTTCAATATTTCACATATTGATGCATTATACAGAGCTTAATAGGTAATATTGAATTTTGTACTTTTGTATCTATTGGGAGTGGCCATTGAAATGTAAAAAATTAATTGTAAAATTAAATGTATAAAACTGTTTATAATTAATTGGATTTAAACTTAATATGGCTATTAGCTACTCGAACTCAGTTTTTCTGTCTTAATTGATTTAACAATAGTTTAATGTGGCACTTTACTAATTTATTTGAGGACGGTTGAAAAGAATTAAGATTGTACTTACATAGAGCAACAATTGGTGAAATATGTGGTTAAGTTGAATGTTAAAATTATAGATAAATTATAATTATTCAGTAATTCGTATTTTATTTTATCACGGATGAAACTTCGTCTTACCTTCAAAGTGTCACAGTTGCAGAAACGAATGTATTAAAAAAGTATAGTTTACAAATGGTGACCAAGAGAACATGGCTTAATTCTTTTCCGAGTATCTTTTTCATCGTTCTGATTTGGCTGAAAAAAGACAATTTTCCGTTCTTCATCCGTGGCAAAGGTTTTCATGACTACAAGACCAGACACCCCCAGACCTGTCTTCGTCTTCTTTCTCGGCGGTAATAGAGATGGGGACACGGTGACGATGGAAAATTGGGGAAGGTAAATGGCCGCCCTAAAAGGACGTCTGGCCTCGCACCTTCCTAATTCACTTATTCCTGTTGCCTCCAGGTTTTTAACGAACAGCCTGAACACTCAGTTACCCAAAACCCCTGTCCGACCTTCTCTCCTGGATTTCTCACATGTTTACTGAACCTGTCACAAGAGATATGCCGTAGAATTTGCTTGTGGCCGGAGCAACTGAATAACTAAAATGAAGGAACTTTTTCTTATATAAAACAAACTGACAGCAGTGAGCAATCTCAAGTTCTGCATAATGAAGCTAAAATATTATTTTCATATAGAAACTTGAATCTATTAAATTTCAAATAAGATTAGATTATAAAACATAGTCTGAAGGATATTATATTCTTAGTTTATAGTCATTATATTTCGTTCGTGTACAATTTAATGACAACATTCAATTTCTTAAACTGAGATAATGTACTCAATGTCAAATACATTTCATACACACAATGTTTGCTGCAAAAGATCTGAAGAATTAAAAATCAATCAATCATAATACACCTTCGATATTGATAGAATTAATAATAATTCACAAAATAGTAACCAAGTATTTTATGGTCAATTTAAATACACCAACGGCTAATAAATTTTTCCTTTTCTAAAGCTGAATACGTATCACAGGAAAACGA